CTCCTTCCCAGCCTGACAGAGGTGATTTCTGCTTTTCTCTTCTGAGTTGCTCCCAGCAAGCCCATGGGGAAAATTCTGGATTGGAATGAAGAACATAAAAATGTGGTCAGCATATTGGCCTGGTTTTTCGTCTTCTCCATGCAATTGGTCCCAGGAGGTGACTGGCTAGCTGACCTAAGTGCACCGGAGACTGTACATCTCAGCCTGGCCCTGATGCCTGTGTCTCCCCGAAGGACTTGGCAGGTGAGCAGGGAGCCTGAAGGCTAGGTCCCTACTGCGCTGGGAGCTGGAGAGAGACCAGCGCGCGCGAGGAGTGTCACAGTGAATCGACAGAGGGATGGCAGGAGGGACCGGCTTCTGTCGTTTGTGCAGTCACGGGAGTGGGTCATGCTTTCTTCACAGCATCCCATGTCCTCTTTGCAACTAAGTTCAAACACGGGCAAGCAGGGGACAGAAGATGGCAGGACAGGAGAGCCCAGCTAGGGAACCGAGAGAAACCAGAGGGGCGAGGAGAAGGACGGCATATGGTCGAGGGGACTGCTCACCTCATGGCAGCCTGGAAGCGGGAAGACAGAAAAGGTCCAGAGACGAGACACAGCCATCAAATGATCTTCCACCAACCCGGCCCCAACTCCGGCTTTCTGCCATCTCTCCATAATGCCATCAAATTATGAATCCATCACGAACTGGTGAATTGATTAGGTCAGAGCCCCCATCAGCCAATCACCTGTCAGTGACTAGACCTACCAGTTGGGGACCAGGCTTTCAACACATGATCACTAGGAGTACACTTCATATCCAGGCCATAATAGGCCACCAGGGATGCAAAGCACTGTGAGATCCCCAGCTCAATGCCTGGTCTCAGCGGGGCTCTCGCTTTCTGAGTATAGTTCCTGGGAAGCTTGATAATGTGTGGAGTCTGCCCTTACCTCTTACACCATCCTCCATCCCTGGGTGGATTCCTGGAAATGCTATCTCCAGGGAAGGCAAGTGGCACCTGTGCAGGTGGCCTGGGTGACACCGAGAAGCACCATTCTGCTTTCTGACCTCTTTCTGTACCCCTTCCGTATACCTTCACACACCCGTGGGGGCCCATAAGGGTCACGACCTGCCTCTGCTCTCATACAATTCACAGGTTGACTGCAGAAAAGAGACGACTCCAGGAGCCGTGAACGCTAAGGCTTTACTCTTGGTCTGCCATAGTATTTAGACTCTAAATTTCAGAGGCTCCCTGGCCCCATGGAAGGCTCTGGAAGGAATCAAGGTTTGAGCAGGGCCAGGACAGTCTGGCTCAGGTATGCTTCCCCCAAGCAGCCGAGATCAGCTTCCGAGTGGAGCCCAATTAGCCCCACTCATGAATTCTGCATGTGGTGCTGACTTTCATCCGAATCCCTTCCTCCCTTCAGCAAAGCCCTTTGCTTCCTGGGACGTAATTACAATATCTGGCCCATTTTAATGAAGGCAAAAAGTATTCCACGTTTGTATTTTGCTTCGCCGGGGTGGGAGAAGGCTGGGAGGGTGGGGCAGGAGGCTTTGGGAGAGGAGACAGTAAGAAACCTTCCTGGCACACACACACACACACACACACACACACACACACACACACACACACACACACACAC